AAGACATGGTTTGGGAGAATCTAGATGATGATTTGAGAATGGGAAAGGAAAAAGACCTCGGCTGGATTGAGTGATTTACTTTTTCTGATTGAATTAGCGATTGTGATACTATTTTTCAGTTTCTGGATTATTAATGTTTTTTATTTATAGAATATTAATGTTTTTTATTCAGTTTAATGTTATGACTTGTGATTATGGTCTGCTTTTGTTTAATGTTAATTACTTATGAAATATGTACTTCGGATTTATTATAGTACCAAAATATAAGGTACAACGTGCCGAACACGTGGTACACCGTACTGAACGCGTGCCGGAATGAACCTACCCCTCCGAACTGGATACGCTAGACCTAGCGAACCGTGTTCCCGTACCGAAGCATTCTGAAAACTACATGACTATCGTCTTGCCTTCCACAACTTATGGATTGTTTACAATCAAAGATTTATTCTCTTCATTCATCATATATGGAGCACTTTAGATGCATTTACTTCAATTTATTTCATATAAAAAAATTATACTATTTTGTTAAACATCACATTAATATGATATTTGTGAAAACTAAGGGCGTGCTCGCTGCTAAAACTACAGTTATGTTAGTAAGACATGTGAAGTAAACACCCGGGCTGCTTAAAAAGCCGTTTACTAACTCAAACAGTTGCTTGAAGTGCCGCTTACTAAACATATTGTCCCCATGTGTTAATTAAACGGCAGTTTAAGCTTTTTCAGTTTCTGCATTTACCCTTGCCCTACCTTTTCCTTTACCCCTACCTTTTTACCCTCTACCCGTACACCTACCCCTACCCCCACCCCAACTCTTACCCCTAATCATACCCTACGCCCTACCTTGTAACTGTACTCACCTCAATCCCGCCCTTAGGGGTTAGGGGTAGGGTAAGGATACGGGGACGGGTATGGGTAGACCCCATATATATTTGTGTATAAATGAATGTTTGTGTGTCTATATATGTATAAAGTTATTTTGGATATTTCAATGTTAAATGGTGTTTTAAATCCTGTGAAGTAAACATGAGCTTGTAGCACCGCTTATTAACGCAATTCTTAATAAGCACCACTTAGTAACATGTGAAGTAAACATGTTCTAAGTGTTATATAATTGTCTTGGGTCTCAAGAATGCTACAAACGGTCCTAAAGAGGAATTCCACAAGCTGTCATGGTTTGTATGCTAGGTTATGTGACTTGTGTCTCTATGACTCTATCCCTTCTTAGATATATGACAAGATTATATGACCAATGAGAATCCAACTCTCACCAATATTAAATAATACTCCCTCCGTCCCAAAATTATTGTCCCGCTTTCCTTTTCGATCCGTCCCGAAATTATTGTCCCGTTTCTTTAACTTCCTTATTTGGTAAAGAAATCTATACCAAACAGTGTCAAACAGTGCAGAATAGTGTCAAACAGTGTCGCTACAGTGCCAAACAGTGTCGCTACAGTGTCATTTTCTTAATCTGTGTGAAAAACCAAACGGGACAATAATTTTGGGACGGAGAAAGTAGTTTCTAGAGAAAGTGGTATACAGGTCCATGTAATTTCTAAGCAAGGTTGTTTGTTGTTCCTTGATTTTTAAGGAATAAGAAAATACCTTGACCTGAGGAGTGAATAAATAAGAGGCAGAAAATGATCAAGCGAGAACATACCCCTCTCATCAAGCTCAACAATGTAAGGTTTCAGATTCAATTCTTTAAAAACAGCCTTTGCTCTTTTACAGTATCTACAGAAGAAATGAGATAAATACATAAGAAAAATAATAGATTGTGCATGTTTTAGTAATTATCCAAATTACACTACTGCACTCAGAAGAAATTGCTTCACCTGGTGAAAAACCAAGATGTTTAAAATGCAACTTAAATAATGTCACTGCACTCATAATTTCCACCTTCAACATATCTATTTTAGTTATTCGGAGAATCTGAGTATTCGACAAGAATAGACTAATAGTTGGACTGGATTTATAACATGAGCATGTGAAACCATCAATTACTCCAACAGATTAACAAATTCCATTCATGATTTGCGAGGTGCACATACAACAAATACCCATTTATACAAAAAAGTTTTAAGTACACCCACGCGATAATGTATCTCTATTCAATACCTTTTAAATTATAAGATTAGAATCATTACATTCAAAATTTAATAGTTATGATCATTTTGACCTCCAACTAATGCTCACAGTGCATATATCTACTGCTTTTTTATTTGATTTAGTTGATGAAGAATAAGAATGAGAACCTTCCATTTGGAATTTGTAAAGTACAATACATAGTTAAAAAGAAATTCAAAGAGTATCAGAAAGCAACCAATTTTCCTTCCATTGCAAGGATTTCTAGGGAGGGCCTGTTACTCGAGCGAAATCTATACAACTATTGGCAAAAGCCTTCAGATTTACAAGTGATACTCCACTATCAACAAGAAGATAAACAGCATATCAATGTATAAATCTGACTCCAACAGAGAAAATTCTTTTGTACAAAAACTTCCGTGAAAATGTCTAGCTTGAGAATGTTATTAAAATGGATGGCCGACTCATTATTCCATGTGTTTAGAATGAAAGAAGTTAACCAACAGTAGATTAATGGCTAAATCACTGTTCACATCCTTACAGCATTCTTGGCGTTCTACTTCTACGGTTCTACCTATACTTCGAAGTTTAAGATCCCCACCCAAATAAAATAGTTATAGCGAAATATACCAACGATTAGGCAAAAAGTTACTCAAACAGAACTGGGATCTCAATGGACACGATAGAAAAAATGAAAAACGAAAAAAGAAAGTAAGCATAGAGCAACCAGTGAAGGGTCTAACGGGCAGTAGGACTTGGAGAAGATGACAATCGAATGAGAAGAAATTGTTTTCTTCACAAAGGCGGCTGCGGCTTCCTTTGGGACATCTTCGAGTGATGCAGATGTTGCTGAGGCACGGGTAAGGGTGATCATGATTGTGAACCCAATCACAAAGAGCAACGATAATTTCGCCATTCGAGAGAGTTGAGAGAGGAGTAGCAGAATTTTGGGGTCAAGGGGGATGAAATACTCCGTAGAAGAAACCTGGGAAGTGGGAAGTGAAATGGGGAAATACTGCAATGGTGACCGGAGTACTATGTAACAGAAAATTAAAAAAAATGGAGGTCACTATGGGTCCGGCCCGGAACACTAGATCCGGATTACACAAATTCGGGCCAGACTCGTATTGGTCGGGCTTAAATTCTTGGTCCAGACCCAAAGTTAACGGGTCCCCGAACTGGATGTATAGATACTAGGGGTGGACGAATCGGTTTACGGTTCGGTTTTTATCGGTTTCGGTTCGGTTTCGGTTTATTCGGTTTGAGGAAAATAGTACCAAACTCAAACCAAAAGAATTTCGGTTTGGTTTCGGTTCGGTTTGGGAAAAACTCGGTTCGGTTCGGTTTGATGTTCGGTTTGATGTTCGGTTTATAAACTTGAAAATGATTATGTCTTGTTTCATATGTTACAATCCACTTTGAGTAAATGAGTAATTTTGAAAATGTTTTGTTTTTATTGAAATTCCAACTAAATGAAATACTAGAAACAGCCTTCACCAAACTAATTGAACAACCTGCCTTCACCTGCTTAAACAACCTGCCAATTGAAATTCCAACTAAATGAAATACTAGAACCTAGCTTAAACAACCTGGCTTCACCTACTAAACCAATTGAAACAAACTAAACCAAAGACTCACACAGAAATAGAAATAGAAATATAAATACAATTTGCTATTGATATCGCCAACCATAATAAATACAAATATGTCGTATTAGCTAACTTTGTCATAATGAATGTTTGAAATGTGTAAAAGTTAAAATAATACGAGTATATGCTTAAATATGCATTTTCATGTCTAAATTTTTTATTTATATCTTAAAATGAAGAGTGAAGATAAATACAAAGTGTGTGTGTGTGTTGTTCGGCTCGGTTCGGTTTTGTTCGGTTTTTATCGGTTTCGGTTTGGTTCGGTTCGGTTTAATACGGTTTGAAAGAAATAGTACCAAACTAAAACCAAATTGAATACGGTTCGGTTTAGTTCGGTTTGGTACGGTTCGGTTCGGTTAAACCAAACCGTTATGCCTGCCCCTAATAGATACGTCCATGATGAAGTTAATAGTGTTGGAGATTTTCTAAATATTATAGATCTATATATGAACTGATTCATTTCAATTGATTTTCTGAAGTTTGGGATGTTTTTTTCAAGGCATTTCTCTTTTCTTGTTGTCTGGTTTAAGACTGTTGAATTCAGCGAGTGAGATGTTTTTAACTCCTTCAATACGATGATGGCATCAAACTCAAAATCAATACGTCTTTCGATGGTTGGCGGTTGCAAATTGCACTCAGTTGTGGTCGGCTCGAGGGTTGGATGCTATGTTGCTTGGCACACCTTGCGCAAGGAGCAATACTATATAGATGGCATTTTGGTCCTTGGTAGAGAGGCTTTGTTGGTCTTGGGAATAGCAAGCAGAAGATTAAGTTGATAAGAAATGACTCTGAACGAACAAAAATAAAAGTGACGGAGATGGGAGTTGGTTATTAGACTCGCGTTGGTTTGGTTTGTGAGGGAATTCTTTCTCTCAAGTTGCGGTTTCAAGTCGGTCTTGATTATGGTGTGGTTTATCAATTCGAGTTGTTATGTTTTTAGTTTTTTTTTTTAAATTAATTTTTTTTTTACTGTAATCTCTCTAGAGTTTGGTAGTACTTTATACATGAGAGTGAGTGATGTGAAGTTTTATTCGATCATATAATTGGCTCATTTATGCCCAATTCAAGACCACCGAGTTATATTGCTATTTAAAAGGTTATTAGTTTGCTAGTTTTTAGTTTTCAAAATATAAACTCTTTATAATGTTTACTACTACGTAATACGTAATTAAATATAATTACAGTTAAATCAATTACTACTCCATATTATTTAAAGTTATTTTTTATTATTTTTTTCTAACTGAAAAAAGAGAACTTTCTCTGCAGTAAAAGGAGACACCTCAACCTGTCCAGAATCCAGATGTAGAGCAAATTCAACGGCCTCCATCTGATCTCCCGAGCCTCTCTTCTTCTCTGATCTCCACTTCCGGCGACCGATTATTATCACCATTTCACTTCCAAACACTCACTGGAAGTTAATCGGAAAAAATGTCGCACAGCGATACAATACCTCTCAACACCTCATCCCAATCGGACATTGATGAAATCGAGAACCTCATGTACTCCAACCCCTCCAGCGTTCTACCGGCACGGCCGCCGTCCCCTCTCCGTGCATCCATTCCCGTGTCTTCCTCCCCGTTCATACCATCCAATCTTCCACCACCTCCCCTGTCGAACGTCAAACCCGCCCCCGCCCCTCCCGTTCCTCAAGTCCCACCTCCCCTTCCTCCTTCCTCCCGCCCCTCGACTGGGCAGCCTGGTATTGATGCTTCAGGGTTCGGATCCGGCCCGAATACACTCACCGAGCCCGTTTGGGATACAGTGAAAAGAGATCTAGCGAGGATTGTCAGCAATTTGAAGCTCGTGGTTTTCCCTAACCCATTCAGGGAGGATCCTGGGAAGGCATTGCGCGATTGGGATCTGTGGGGACCGTTTTTCTTCATTGTCTTTCTAGGACTGACCCTCTCGTGGTCAGCATCCGTTAAGAAGGTATTGCACATTCAAGCAATTAAAGCTATGAAACGAATGAACCATACACGATGATTGGTTTGATGAATAGTGAGTTTTACTTCATTTCACTGTTCTTTGATGATATTGAGATGGGTCTCTTAATTATTTAGTAGTAAAATTAGGAATGTGTTGTGCCAATAGAAGCATATCAAATGTTAGCGATGTTAAGAGTACACTTCCTGAATGTAGAGTCTTGATAATAGGTTACAGGAGTCAAGTATATAATTTCTCTGTTTGGATGAGTGATGAAAAGTAGTAATTATAATTTGTGAAAATCTATGTATAAATACTACTTACCCCTCCATGCTGTCATTGCATATGTTGGGGATCACATCAATGCTTTTAGAGATGACTCTAAGTGCTGGTATATGGAGCTGTTTTATTGAACTTCCAGCCTTGCATATTGGGTTTCACTTGTGAACTTATCTTCTGGTCCTAAATGTTTGGCATTTTAAGACATCCTCCTTCTACAACAAATACTTCACAAAAACTGTGAGCTTTTGTTGATGAACATAATATGTGTGTTCCATTTTGTGATATTATGTTTATCTGCCATTATTTATAGTTATATCAGCAATGCGACTCTCAAAATTATACACCCTTTATCCCAAAGACAGAATCATGCTATAATTTTTTTTGCTGAAAGAAAAGGGCCAATTTTAAAGGGTGTGTTTTAACTTTTAAGTAAAGTATCTGTAAAGCCAAGTGGCAAGCAGTTTTAGTCAATTCTTACAATCAATCTTTGAAATATGCTCGAGGAAATCATTGAAAATTCAGAATTTGCAAAAGCTTCTAGCCTTCTACATCTGTTTCATTTCATCATTTCATTTTCATTTACCCCAGCGGGGTAAGGGGGGGTCAGATGTACGCAATCTTACCCCTGTACTAAAGCACAGAGAGACTGTTTCCGGATGACCCATAGTGAAAATCGAGCCCAAAATTGCATGGACTGAAGGAGTAGTAACTTCTAGCCTTCTACATCTGTTGAGTTCACTAAATATAAGAAGTTCATCTTACTCAAACTCGATCTCCCTTGGACAGAAGGAGTAGTAACTCGCTTAGGGTTGGCAAATAGAGTTCATAACTATATTAAATTTACATCATACTTGCAAATAGAGTAGTAACCTGGTTCAGGGTGACCAAATGTTGGAATTATATAAATTTGTGCTTTTGCACGGAGTGTGATATGATTTTAGGTGGCTAATTGACACCATAAATTTTATGCCACCAACCGACCAACATCAATGCAGTTAGGACTTAGAGTTAATGTGTTGAGGATGATGTTTAAAAACTTGAGATATGCAAATGGATAGTAGGGAGTTATTTACATTGGTATGAATTTTCTTTCCCCTATAGTAGAGAGTAATATATATCAGTACGATTTTTCCTTTGATTAGTCATATTATATGAAAATACTTCTTACATTCCAGTCAACTAATGTTTGCAACTAGTATTGTATGATTAGTCTATTGTTACAACTAAAGAATATTTGCAAAGTCACTAATACCCCGTAATATTTTACACTTTCTATTGCTTGCATCTATGTCTTTAAAGTGACTTGTTATAATTTGCTTCGTACTACTTGTAACCAGAAAACAGACCAGGGTGTATAAGCATCCTGGCACATGTATGCTACATGTTACAGAGCTTGCCAATCTCTTGTGCATTTTATCTAGTTACGTGTTAATATTTCAAGATTGATTAATCCTAATTTTTTTTCTTCCTGACATATATATTGTGGCAGTCTGAAGTTTTTGCTGTTGCTTTTGCACTGCTCGCAGCAGGTGCTGTGATTCTGACATTGAATGTCTTGCTGCTGGTAATGATTAAGTTCTCATGGACATACCAGATTCTTTTTATTTCTATAATACATGGACATGCATGCATGTAGGGACACAACATTAGTACCCAAAAAATGAGATCTTATTCTTTGAGAATATACAAAATTCTTTTTATACTCCCTGTACCTAAATATTCTCCACACTTCCCCCTTTTTACCTGCCCCAAAATTCTCGTCAATTTCCCCAAGGAATCAATCATGTAGCTAATGCTATTTCCCTCTAAATAAATATCAGCCCTGCACTTTTCATTTTCTTAACCTCTGTGCTCAATCAAGTTGGGTGCCACTTAGGGGCAGATATATTTATTAAAGTATATTATGATCTCTGTACACTGCTAATGGAAGTGTTATTTATCGCAGGGCGGTCACATAATCTTCTTCCAGAGTTTGAGCCTGCTAGGGTACTGCTTATTTCCACTTGATGTCGGGGCTCTTGTCTGCATGGTGATGGACAATGTGATAGTTAAGTTAGTGGTTGTTGGTGTGACCCTGGCGTGGAGCTCTTGGGCCGCATATCCATTTATGAGTACAGCCGTCACTTCCAGTAGGAAAGCTCTTGCACTTTACCCTGTTCTTCTCATGTATGTATCTGTTGGCTTTCTTATCATTGCCATCGACTAGTGTATTTTTTTGTTGTTGCTACTGACCATAAGTCCATAAGACAAAGGAAAAAAAATGTATAAGTCTTACAGTTGCATGAAAATGTTGAAAACAGTTTTTTTGGCTGAGTTTTACCATCTCTGGATTATTATAACAGAATGAATGTAATGTGTATTAATACTAAATACTGGTGTTGCTAGTTTACTAGTATAGTTATGCCCCATGTGAACCTCTTCATAACTTTCTTATGTTAGTTGATAATTGTAACAAAGTGATCCATTGGATCAAACCCTACTGCTATACTGCCATATACCTCACGTCCTCACTTTATGGACATCTTTGGAATTAAATAATTGAAAGGGCCTTAACTTTGTCAGCTGCAAATTCCTGGTGTACTTGTACATATCTTTCACCGTTTCCAACCTGCTTGCATCCTCATAAATATATAGGAAGTACTACACATAAAATATGTTGTCTGCTGTTAACCCGTTACCCATGGTGGCGATAATGATTTGGATAAAAAAAATACTTGTTGGGTAACAGGAGGTCACAGGGAAGGAAATTATCCAGGCGGTGATACGGCAACTAAGGTCGTGATGACACTAACTATTGGTCAATATATTGTCTTTTGAGTTTTGAATACCGTTTTAGTAAAATCTTGAGAAAACTATCCACATTTTAATAAGGAAAGCACATGCTCCAGTTGTATTCTCTTCTTAAACAAGCAGTCCTTTTACATCTATTCAAACACCTTAACAATGGTGGAGACAGGGAGAGAGAGTGAGAGACTAGATGGGTCTCGGTCTCTTAGAAAAAAAAATTAATGTACATATATTTGCAAAAATATTCATGATTTGTAAAAAGTAAGTTAAACTTTTAAGCTTCCCCCTCCTCTAATATACGGAGTACAAATTTCAAGCCCGGACTCTCTTGCAACAAATCTCTGATTCCGCCATTGAACCTTTCCTTTGAATTGCATTGGCATGAATATATTTTCTTAAAGCTGGCCTGAATATATTTCGAAAGCTAAATACATTCAGAGTCACTATATTGGCATGTATGAATAGGCCATCACCAAATATATTACCTCAATAACAAGTGCAAAAACAATGTGCAACGTGCACAACTGAATCTGCGTAGTAAATTAGTAATTATTGAATCTGCATGCAATTATTACATCTCTAAATCTCTAATAGTAATTTAAGTCGACATGTTACTAATTAGTAATGTAGAGATCAGGTTGAACACCTGAAACATAATTTGTAATAAACGTCCAACATTAGTTTGGCATTGAAATAATGTGTTTTGCTCAAATTGTTAAAATATCAATTAAAAATTGCTGAACTCATTGGAATATGATTTAATTTCTTAACAGATCAAAATATAATTGAAAATAGACCAATTTCAACAAAAGTTGTGACCTTTTTCCCCTAATTTCAACAAAAGTTGGACCGGGCCTGGGCCCCACCAGGCTTGGAGAGTTGTGGGTAAGGCCCAGAACCGGCCCGGAGTCTACTGGTTCCGAGCCGGGCCGGTTCCGGTTCAATTTTTTTCTTTACTTTCTTATTTATTTGAACCCCCAAACCCCAAACCCCTCGGAAACACCCAGCCCAACTAAACCTAGCCCAAACCCAAAAAAAACAAAAAAGAAAAGAAAAAAGAAAGAAAGAAAGAAAAGGCCTGAACCGGGCCTGGCCGGGCCGGGCCGGTTCGCCTTTTTCAAGGCCCGGAACCGCTTACCCCCAGGGCCGGGCGGGCCGGGCCTAAGCCGGTTCTGAAGAGTACCGGGCGGCCCGAACCGAGTCCATCCCCAAGTTAACGAAGTAATCTCTTTGTTTGTGGATCCAAAGTTCCAAACAGCTTCGATCTTGAACTCCTTTTTACTTAAACAATCGTTAACATATGACATTGAGAACTTGAAGGATTGATCGAACAATTCGTTGTTGACTCTCTCAATGTCATAGATGGATCATGGATTCATTCAGAGTAGGATGTAAGATAAACCAGAACCCAAATCGAGAAAGTTGATTCAGATTTCAATTGCAAACCGGTTCAAATCCATTTCCGTTTTTATTTTAATTCATTAAGAAATAGATTGGAACCCGATCCAATTCCTTCCAAGTTCCAACCCTACCTCAAATGACGATGGCTGCTTGTAAATTTAAAACTTCATTTGCTTCGTAAATAATGATAATGTCTTGCTATTTCCGTATTTTGAAATCTGTGGGCCGTGGTAGACTGTAGCTAATAAAAAAAATCCTTCGAGATATCGAAATATCTACTAATTTTCTAAGAAATAATTACATAAATATAATCAAAATAAAGATGATTTACAAAAATATGACTAGTTACTAGAGTAGTAATGAAATCAGGGTAATTTATGTTCAAGTTTTGAACTTAAGTTACCACAATACTACGTTGTAGTAATGAATAGTCATATTTATGTAAATAAGTTTTATTTTAATAATATTCTTGTAAAAAAACTCGTATCTTACGATACCGATATTTCATCAGTTTCCAATATTGTTATCCTTCGTCTTCCAAAAAAATATTGTTATCCTTCGTAATATATGCAGCATACAAACAAAATGCATGCTTGGTAATAAATACCGATTAAATACAGCGGCGGCAAATAAATATGAGAGTAAATCTTGTGCCAATAATCTAGTCTCCAAAAAGTGAATAAAATTTATGCTCAGTTGAAAGCTGTGATTAGTTGGATATTTCATCAAATAGAGGCAACCCCCAATTAGCTGGGTTGAAATCTAATAAAGAACTGAGAACTTGGTCAGCATTTTCATGGTGAGAGCTATCCAACCTGGGGTCAGGAACCATTACCACTGACCTGCAAGTAAATTTACAAAATCGGATAAAGACCATTCTGGCAGGAACTCAAATAAAACTACTACTTACTCTTTCATATGAAGTGAAAGTTGTTTATTTTTACATACAACTGTAAGTTTCTAACTGTGGGTCTAAATGAAAATAGATAAATAGCAGTATAGCACGAATGTTCAATGTATAGTTGTATACTCTTTCATATAAAACTACTACTTACTCTTTCATATGAAGTGAAAGTTGTTTATTTTTACATACAACTGTAAGTTTCTAACTGTGGGTCTAAGTGAAAAAATCAAATCATGAAAGAGAGAGTCAAAACTCAAAAGGCAAGTTGCATCATGACAAACTTTTATGAAGAATATTAAGAAATTGCCCAAAATATGAGTATTATGTTTTTATCTCCTAAAAATAAGTAAATACTGCCACTTTTGGTAGTATACTATCGTGTTTAAAGAAAATTTACAGAATGACATTAATGTACTCCTATTTAGGAAAGAAAAACATAGCACTCTTATTTTAAAATTCCGAACATTTGTACTCTTATTTTGGAAATATTCTGAATTCCGAACATTTGTACTCTTATTTTGGAAATATTCTGAAGAATATTTTACTGCTTTCTCTATCCCTAAATAATCATTATAATTTGTTTTCTTGTCCGTTTAAAAAATATAGCCCATTTTTAAAATATACTACCTCCGGTTTTTTTTAATCTTCACAGTTTGACTTCACACAAAATAAGGAAAGAAATTTGACTTTACTGTAGAGTACACTGTTGAGGCACTGTTTGACACTGTTCGGCACTGTAGAGACACTATTTGGCACTGTTGAGAAACTGTTTGGCACTGTTCGGCACTTTTTTGATGTAGATTTCTTTGCCAAAAAAGGAAATAAGGAAGTGTGAAGTTTATTTTAGACCGTCCCAAAAAGAAAAGTGTGAAGTTTATTAAAAACCGGAGGAAGTATATCACTTATACATAAATGCCAATCACATAAGTTCGCTTTTTAAATCTTATGCCTTGTCCAAATGGGCAACAATTCCATGACAAAGTAAAAAATTAGTGAAACTTCTTAAATCAAACATTGCTCCATTGCATTGACTGAAGTAAATGTACCAAGTGCACAAGAGACTGGATTTTGTTGACAACTGACTTGTATTGTTACTAGTGCTACATGATGTGATTTGATGTTTTTCATTTAATGAATTACATTTTGAATGCATAGTTGCATACTAATTATTTTCATTTTTTGTAAAAATGAAAAAACGCTTCTCCTTGATACACTTCAAAGCAAAGCTATGGCATGTTGGTTTGACCATTTTTTTAAAAAAAACTTGGCAGTTGGCACTAAATTATCTCATGTATAAATACAAAAACCAACATATTATGCTTTCAACTACTCCTTCTGTGACTTTTTAAACTTAACTCTGAGTTTTAATATGACACCAAAGCCCATTAAGCTCAGACGAGTAATGAATCCAATTAAAATTCAACCAAGAGCACACAGATTCCATCATTGGTTTGATCCAAGTATCCAACGAACTACCATTTTACGGGCATATTAGGTGATAGTGATCCAGCTGTACTTGAAAAGGAGGATAAATACTTTGGCCGGGTCTATTCTAGAAGGAGGAAATAGAATTAGTTGACAGTTATTTTCTGTTATTAGCTATTAACTACCTATCGGTTAAGATGGGAAGATATAGTTGTCTCATTTCTTGGAACTCTCTCTGTATTTTTGTTCACCATTAATGGGAGCTATTACTGTTTCTTGATCTCTAAATTCTTACTGATAATCTACTCAATACCTGCGCTAGTTCTATCATTAGGTCATCTCACACTGATGACATATAAAGATATAAAGCAACATGTAAGGGTTTAGCTTACTCATTCTATCATGTTAACTTTTTAGGATGAAACTCTTAGTTTTGATACTCAAAAAATTAAATTTTAGTCACAAAACTCAATGATGCAAGTGTCACATCTGACTTACATGCCAGCATTCTTAGCAGCAAGAACACCTGATGGAGCATCCTCAAAAACAAGAACTTTATGCAGATCAACAGGTGCATCCTGTGAAAATGAAAGGTCAGGACCTAATATTACTCCATGGTCATATATTCAGTCATATCCTATATAAAAAAAAAGACATTGACATTTATTGGGAAAAAACCTCAAATCTTTTAGCTGCTGTGAGGAAAATATCAGGAGAAGGTTTCCCTTGTTTGACTTCTGGGTCATCACCAACAACAATGTGATGCATCAACGAAAAAAGTTCATCATGTTGTTTTGTTTTCAATTGAAAGTGGCGCTTGTGAGAGCTGCAATGCACATATAAATCAATTATGTCTCATTAAACAACATTTAGTATGAATGTTCAAAACTAAGCTGCTGAAATCCCTAAGAAAGAATTCACGCCTTCCCTTCCAATGCATTGAAGAAAAAAAAGTAAGCTTCAACAGAAAGGGAGAAAATATACCCCGTTGCAACAGACATTGGTATTCCTTTTTCATGAAGGTGCAGAATCAAGCGGCTAGCACCTAAAATCAGACAAAATGGTTAAACACGTAACCCATGTTCACAAAGATTTAGAGCTATCTAGTTAGTCATATCATGTATGAATTATGAAAGGATATCATATTTTAATAGCACAAGTGAGTATGTCTAGATTTATATTATTACAATTTTTTTCAGAACAGTGAAATGGATAGTATCCCATAAAATCAGAACAATGTGGATGAAATGGAAGAGTGTGTCGGGATTTTTATGTGATCGAGGTATGCCAACTAGATTGAAGGGTAAATTTTATCACACATCAATTAGGTCTGCATTACTAAATGGTGTAGGTGTTAGCCAGTGAAATAATGTCACATTCAAATGATGAGTATGGCAAAGATGTGCATGTTGCGTTAGATGTGTGGGCATACGAAAAAGACCACTTGAGGAATGAGGCAATCAGACAATAGGTGGGAGTAACACCTATTAAGGATACGATGCGGAAGTCTCAGTTGCAGTGATTTGGTCATGTGCACAGAAGATCAGGTGATTCACCTATTAGACGAGTTGAGAGGGGTGGAGAAGAGGCGGGGAGGAGAAGAAGAGCAAGACCCAAACATACGTGTATTAGAGTAGTCAGGAGTGATATGCTTCTTTTTGGATTGGATGAGAGAATGGCTTTGGAGAGAGAGAAGTGGAGGGTGGGTATTCATGTGGCAGATTGATTTCTTATCATCCTTTTTATCCTTAAATTCTTCTTTATCTTTCTTATGTTTTATCCGTTTATCATTGGACTTTGCCTACTTTTTTTGTTTGTCCCAAAAAACTTTGTCATTTTCCTTTAAAGCAATGAATTTGGGACTCTGTTCATTTCTCTCTCCTCTACACAAACTTCAACCACACAGTTTTTACTATTCTAATTTCCCACCCAACATCAACTTGACAAAGTTGAGTGGGATGGAGGTAATATATTCTTTTTATCCTTTTTTATCTTATTATTTTTATCTCTATCTTATGTTTATCTTTATCGTATCTTTTTATCTTTCTTATATTTCTTTTCCTTTTGGCTCCAATATCACGTATCGATTCGTGTTAAGCCGACCCTAAAGTCTTTTGAGACTAAGGTTTGGATGTTGTTGTTGTTGTAACAGTGAAAGAGATTGTTAGCTATTAGTACAATGAATGACAAAAAAATTCAAATAGGGGAAAACAAAATGCTCCAAAGATGGAGACAGAAGTCCCCGAACATACATGAAATGTTCCTGAGATGGGAATAAAACATATTTGAGGTGTAAAATATCCCTGATAGATACTAGCCAAATGGAGAGGAAGAACTTAGGTGTATTCTGTTAACCTGATTCCTTTTCATTATTGCTAACAAAATCAGACAAGACTAGCAACACTGTGAGCTTATCAGGCCATGAAGATGTAGATTAGGACAGAAGTTATACTTCAAAATGATTAGACAAGATCACAAAAGACCAAAAGTTCAACTCAGAACACCCCAATAAATTCAGACCAGATTATATCAAACCAAAAGATGCATATCAGAATTTAGAAGTTCAGATTAGATCACAAAATTTTCAAGCAAATAGAACATGCCATAAATACTTTGTGAACTGTTCAAGAAATCTAACATTCATTAAATGTCTTTGATGCATCCCATTATCACAGATGAACGGGTGTTGCACAGTTCATGCTGATCCTGTCAGCCATAAGCTCCAGATGGTGCATTGAAACATAATAGATAGCATGTTTCTTTGGAGGAAGGCTATGGAAGTGGAATGATGAAAAGATCGGGAAAAGCAGTGCAAAAAGATATGTCAAGCTCTAAAGTTGGTACCTGGCATGAGTTCACTGGTTGGAAACAAATTCTGCAGCATTGCTTCTCTTTCAACAAGAAAATCCTCAGCTGTCAGAGAATCACTAATTCCTGTCTCCTCCACAAATACCTTAGCTGCTTCTAAAGCCTTCTTACCCATCATTTTTGCCTTGAGTGACCAATCAAAGGTCTTGTTATATCTAGCAAGTATAATCTCTTGGACTTCAGTGTAGAACTTCTCTGTGTCTAAAATCAAGAACCCAAGATAAAGTATAAACAATAAGATATCTAGCTAAGACACATCACCATAAAAAGATAACTTCGTTAAAACATACTCCCTCCGTATTTTAAAGTTTGCTACACTTTCCTTTTTGGGATGTATTTAAAAGTTTGCTACACTTTCCCTTTTTGGTAAGTTTTTCTTTTAAAAATACTCAATTATCCTTACTTTTTCTACTTTTTATCTTCTCTTTCATACTTTTCCACCTTCTCCTACTTTTTCTACATTATTCATTACCCCTACTATTTCATCCTTAAATAATGTGCCCAAACCTATTGTAGTGAACTTTTAAATACGAAGAGAGTATAAATACAAGATCATAAAGACTACATAGGTGCCAGAAGTGTGTGCTCAATGGCCACAAAATCAAATCTCATGGAACTAAAGTCTAGGGTTCATTGTATAACTTTGTGGTAATGTAACAGGGGGGTTGTGATTGGTCTGGACTCTCTGGACTAGGCCACACTGGTTGGATTGAAGTAGGACGAGGTCAACAAAAAACACAGAACAAGTAAGAGGATATAGGCAGGAGCACCTAGTCATGCAGTGTGTGTTTCTGTGTATGATCAGATAAAATTACAACTTACATGTACAAAGTCTAGAGTACAAACGTACAAAGGAACAGTGCTGGCATACAAGGCTACACTAAATTTCTCTTTCTAGTATAACAAAAGTGGAACATATTCTTCATGGCTAAGAGATATCTATAGGACCAAGTGAGAGTTCCGCAAGGCCGCATAAAACATACATGGACATGAGTCAGCGCCTGAGTGGATTTGAACTTGACTTGTGCTAGTAGCTGTCAGCTAGCTTTAGGGCTGATCTAACAATTGTCTGGTACTCTGTTGACGACCAGTCATATCTGTTAATAAGAGCCTGGCCTCCACTACCCATCCTCAGTTTTTGGATATGACTCGCTTGATCGGAGGGTAGGCCGCCCAGTCGTTAAGTGCGAGCCGCCAGGCCAGGCGGATATATCCCATCACAGAGTCCTTCAATTCCTGAGCTGTCATAAAGCCTAGGAACTAAAAGTTGTATCTGTGCTTCTCTACCAAAGGCGATCTTGTTAGTGGCAGGAAATCACAAATGTCCAAATGTTCCAATTTCATAATTCAGATTCACACCTGGGAGGCCATTGGTCATTTCGTTACATTAACTGCATGTGCTGTCATGCCACAATGCACGCTTTGATTGGCCACGGATTCATCTCCCATAGCGCCCATAATCGGCCAAAGGCCGCCCTATATGAAGGTTAAACTACTCTCTCATTTTCACGCTTCCCGATCTCTGCATCATCAAAGTTGTCCGATCGTGTGTCAGTTCTATTGTTTCTTGTGTTCGCCAACCTCCGATAACTAGGTACATGCCCGGCCTCCTGACCATGCTACTTCTTTAACACACTTTTCAATTAGTATTATGTACCCAGATAGATTGGGTAGCGATACTGATGATTTTCAGGATAGGGGTTCCCTAAGCTAAGGGTAGTCAGAACAAGGCTGTTGGATGGAACTGGGTGTTGTTGAACTTAATCGTGGATCAATTTCTCAGTTAAAATCCTGTTGGGTAGCCAAGGTTATGCTCAAACTTATGATTGGTATTTTACACGTTTTCTCTTGTAATCGGGTGGAATGACATCTGTTAAGTAACTCATCTCTATGACAGCTATTTATGATTAGCCCTTCCATGAGTTGAATATCAATGATGCCTCCTTAAATGGGGGTCTTCAAGAGAAGCTGCATGCTAAACAACCTCATGCTTTTGTAGCTCAGGGAGAATGCCTATTGTCTGTGAAAATCTTTTTGTGGTTTTAACATAAAGTCCATGTGCCATGTTTAAGAAGTTCCGCACTTCCGCCAAAAATTGGGAGGTTTGGAATGATGAAAGGATATCATATTGCTCTGACTTTTATGATCAACCTAGAGCAGGATCATGTAGTGAATGGTGGTTTATGGGGATGACATTATCAATACAGGAATTGACACTACATACATCTCATCCATCAAGATGTTCCTTCATACCCAATTTTCAGACAATGAATATGGAAAGAACATATCTTTCATGATTGAGAAGCCAAAAGCCCCATGGTTCCAAACATGCCGTTGACAAAAGGAAGAAGAGCCATTTAAGAATCCAAAAAGACAGAAAATTGTTAACCAATTGAATTGAATTATCTGATGACAACTCGTTCAAACATTGTACATCCTGTCATCATCGAGATCCACTATTTGTCACCTCCGGTTATTGATTACTGGCCTACTTTGGAACATTTCTTATGTTGTCTAAAGGTAGCTCCTGGTCATTGCTTCATCAATCAACAATTCAAGATGACGAGCATAATAGAACTAAGTGATACAGAGTACAGAACCGCTGCTTGCGAAGGATGCAAAGAAGATTGAAAATCTACAACTGATTATTTTGTCTTTGATGGTGTAAATGTGGTATCATGAAAGGCAGGAAGACAAGAAGAAGAATATTGTCTCACCATCCAACACACAATCATAATATATGCAAATGAAATCATTTGAATATGTCTCTACTTGAGCAAGACAAATTTTAAGGCTTACATTATCACGAAGTGATGGTGGAATCATAATATATGCATGTTAAATCATTTGAATATATCGCTACTTGAGCAAGACAAATTTTAAAGCTTATATTCCCACAAAGTCATGGTGTGACAATCAAGCTTCTCTTCATATAGCTCATAGTCACATTTTGCCAGAGTGAACTGTGAACCAAGCCAAAAAAAAAAAAGTCAAGCCATACAGTGCACAAGAAGATACCGAGAGACTTGATTCCGTTATATCTTTTTGTGTGTGAAGACTGATTAACAACTAGAAGAACTCTTTACAAAAGGTCAAATGCACTTAAGTTGGCACAGATTGATTTCTTGACTCTTGTGGCATGAGTTGGGGATAATCAATATTTGTGATTGGTGAGTATTATTTATTGTTGAGAAATATGATGGGTCCAGGTTCTCCCTTGTGATTAAGCACATATTTCATATTTTCGTCTTGTGATTATCCCTAGATGGCTAGTTAAAGAGTCCAAATTCCAATTAGTTGTCTCACTCATATTATGAGACTTGACCGAAGATATGGTAAATTGTTCCTACATAATATTTAAATTATTAATAGTAATCAAAATTAACATATTTAAAAACAAATTTGGAAAGGAGGGACATAATTAAAACTAAAATTTTTATTGAATTCCAAAAGTCAAATTTGAATATGACAAAATTGGTACATAATTAAAAGAGAATTGAATTGACTGATTACTAGTACAAGAGACAAGTGATTTGGAAAGCAGGGAGTGTATTTTAGGAATCATACTGATGTAGAATACCAGAAAACTAATTCATGTTCTTTTGTTTGAGAGAATAGATTAATTCACACAATGGGCTAATGAAGATATTTTGGAGGAGAGCAGAAGACCATACTTAATGAAGATTCCTGACAGCGCACAAATTAAGGAAAAGAATGAATTAGGGTTCAGTTTCAATGGGTCTTATGTATTTGTTTTGTATTTTTAGCCCTTTAGAGATAAAACACATAGCAGACTTTTGAGGTTTAATCCTGAAAAAGTCCTTAAGACCTTGTTCAATGCCTTAAATTTGAAAGCCTTAGCGCCACCTTTTTAAACTATGGAAGAACAAATACAATTGAAATCAGGCTAATTCAATTCATTTAAAGTTTAACTTAATTATATAGTTCTAAGATCCGATTAATGGGTAGTTCCAGACTTCCAGGCATCAAGAATCATGTTTTAGAGGGAAAAAGTTTATCTCTTAAAAACAAACCACCAGAATTTTCTATAACAACAACAACATCCAAGCCTTAGTCACAATAGATTTTGGGTCAGCTAAAACCACCATGTTTTTCTACTCAGACAAAATAAGACACCCCAAGAAAAGAATTAAAAGTGATATATGTTGTCCTTCTATTCTGTAAATTTAGCATCCATAGAATGAAATTAAGGAACTAGCCCGTCAGAAATGGACACCGGAAATTTTAATCCTAGAGAAATAAATTAACGGTAAACTGCTTTTTCCCTCTTCCTCCCTCTAGTACCTGCGTCGAACCCTTGACTCAGTGGTTTGGAATAAGCTAACCTACCAATCAAGCCAAATAGGAGCTGATACGTAGCTTTTATACACTCCGTTATGCAGCATTTACTGAATTCAATCCCTCATAATTAAGTTTTGCAAAAAAAACCTCCATAGTTAATTAGACAATTAGAGACTAAATTTTCCACCAAAGGGTACAACAAGATCATCCTTGCTACAGTTCAAAATAAGACTGAAAATGCTAAAAAAATAAATACCCAATAAATAAGTATGAAATGGATATATTTATATACATGAATCAATTCATAAAAAGAATCTACCTTCTCCTAAAAAAGAAATATACCTAATAAATAAATTTTTAAACCTTGTTTGTTGATTTGACTAAATTTATAAAATGAAACTTATCCATTACTCTTTTACAGCAAGATTTTGACAACTTAGATGAAAACTTAATTTCTTTTAATCAAACTGGGTTCTTTTATGGAAGGGGTAGTCTTATATGTATATACAGATTCATAGCTCGATCTAAGTAGAACCAGATATTGAGTGTCCTGTGCGAAAGAATAAACAAACAAAAAGATAAACTGCATTTAGCTCGTAAAACGTAATTTGAAGTTAAGGCTGAAAGGCAAGTCACAGAGTAGGTTCATTCTGAGGAACTGGAATCGTCGGTAGCAGGAAAAGATTCTGAGAAAGATCTATGCAATTTCACTAGTACGCTGCAATCGTGTATCGATGGTGCAATTTCAAACGGAATTCATAAAGCGGAAAATATATAAGAAACAGAACACATTGTGTGTGCACTTACCGAGAAGAAGGCCGTCCATATCGAAGATGACATGAGTGATTGAAGGGTTTTGTGGAGAAGGAGAAGAACGTGTGCCATTTGGATTCGTCATAGCGGCCAAATGACTTTCACCAATTTTCCGGGATGCTCTTAACTCTTCTGTGATTGGGATTTATTAGAGTCTACTACCCATACCATTCTTCATTTTAGAGAATCAGAGTAACGAGAAACGACTGACAAAGAAGAAAGCGGCTGGCTGCACAAGAAAGGAATAAATTTTAGGAACAAAAATGTAAAGGTGTCCATGTTTTTTGTGCATCATTTCCTTTGTAGGGATACACAAATAAAGTTGTTTGTATACATATAATTTCAATATTTTCAAAGAATTGTGTGTATATAAACAATTTATTTGTGTCCACCAACAAAGGTTGTAAGTAGTATACAAAAACAAGGTGCACACCAAACCTTTTTGTTTAAAGAAAATGACCTAAGAAATCCAAAGCATTATACTTCCTCCGATTCAAAAACAAGTTCCACATTTTACTTCACACATATTAACAAAAGAAATTTGACTTTACTGTGGAGTGCACTGTTTGGCATTGTTTGGACACTGTTTGACACTGTTTGGAACTGTTTTGATGTAGATAATTTGTCAAATAAGGAAAGGTTTGAAAGTGGAACTTAATTTTGGAACTGCCCGAAAAGGAAAGGTGGAACTTGTTTTTGAATCGGATGGAGTATTACTCTGTTATACTCCCTCCGTCCCACTAAGATTGTCGACACTATTCACTTGGTCAACACAAATCAATCTTAATATCATACTTTATATATCAAATTTTTATCAAATTTGATTCTGGTTTTTGCAACTTTGTAAAGATTTTAATGTAGTTACTGAATATGTAACTTTTGTTATCTACAAATAATTTGAGTGCGGACAGAGATCTGTTTGTTTTATCGTCGGTCAAGCATCGTAAACCGAATTGTCTCAAACATAGTGGGACGGAGGTAGTAATTCATTAATTGAAAATAATTATGTTTAAGATATATATATTTTTAATGAGACTGAAATTTTAAGTATTACTAGTACTTCAAACTTTCTATAGTTGTGAATGTGGCAAATGTGGTGGGCGGATTGGGGTTGCGATTGGGTTGGAGCAGGGGCGGAGCCAAGGAAGGTCAGGGTGGTCAGCCAACCCCTCCTTAAAGTCTGAGTATAGAACTCTGAAATATCTTCGATTTGTTATATCTCATGTAGCTCATTATGAATAAAACGTTATGACTTCTGGAAAATTAACATTATCTAAACTTAAAATGAGTTAAATTTGATTCGTAATATTGATTATATTTTCAAACATTTAAAAATAGCGCATAATTCACTCATTATGTGACATGACTCGGGGACAGAACAAAGGCTACATATCTTACAATTACGACTGTCTACTCAATAATTGATTCTTTATTGATAAAAATCTTAATAATAAGCCGGTGGGACTATTAGAGTTCCTGGATAAGGCAAAGAGTCTCATCTCAGACAGCCACTTCGACTAAACCCGTATAAAACAAGTTTATGAAAATATGACATGTATATCAAATCTATATCTATGTTAGTCTCATCTAAATTATCAGCTATCTAATCTACATATGAAACATTCAACTCATGTATTGTCCAAAAATGATCTACCGTTTTTCGACCCCTAGATCGTTTTTCAAGCTCCGTCACTGAGTTGGGGTTGGAGTTGAGGCAGTGGCGAAGGCAATGACGAATTGGGGATAATGATGGATTGTTTGTGAAGAAGCAATGTGTTTTGTCATCGATGACTCGAGTTCCGGTGTTTTGCAATGAGCATACAAATGCACACATGAAGAAATAGTTTAGATTTTTTTTTGAAAACTAATTCCTTAAGTAGAGGAGCCATGCAACTCGAAGAAGGTAACTTGTTATTGTATCACTGTATCAGCATCAAATAAATTTGCAATTGAAGTTTAAGAGCCCGTTTGGTACCACCAAAATTAGTTGAATCGGCTGATTCTGATGAAATTTATGAAGTTCTGGTTGAAGTGGCTGCATTAGCTGATTCTGCTGATTTATGAAAAAAAATATTTAAAATATATTTTATTAATAAAATAAAGAATAAATGAGTTAAGTGTCAATTGAGTACATCGACTTGTATGAGGTGAAGTAAAGAGTACACTATATTGCATATGATATTTTTAGGTACACAAACTCGGCTTTTTAGTGTTAATTGAGTACACTCGTTAGATTAACACGTTAATACGGTTGAGTTGACTAACGGAATGCTTATAGGTCGACGTCAGCCTCCAGCCCCTAGATTGACTTCCCTCTGGTCGAGGTTATCCCCTGCAGGTCGACTTCCCCTTGGTCGATGCACCCTTGCTCGTCCACGCCCGCTGAAGGCCGGTTTTCCCTTTTTGATCAACTTCCTGAAGGTTGACGTCATAACCTTAGTCTATTATATTACCCATTCTTACTCACCATTCCTTAGCCAAACCATCCATGTTAACGTGTTAATCTAACAAGTGTACTCAATTAACACTAAATAATCAAGTTTATGTACTTACGAATGTCAAATGCAATATAGTGTATTTTTTACTCCACTTCATACGAGTTGATGTACTCAATTGACCCTTTCTTCACGAAAAAATTATATGAAAAAAACAATTAAAATGATCCTCTAGAGTAACTTCAGATGCAACATTCAGAAAAGTAACTCCAACCTTATTTTTTCTTATTATATTATAATACAATTTAGCGCATGAAACCAAAAGACACACGTTTGGTAAAAAAAAGTTGGCTAATAAACCTTGATGGATAGTGTACCCGGGGGTAACTTATCCGAGGGGTTATTGCGGGGAATAACCTAGAGAGAAGTCAGAGCAAGCAAGTAGGAGAGAGAGTCAAATATATTAAATGAACTCGAGATGTTGGGATCCTTTACAAGAGGAATAAGAGCAGCTATTTATAGCAGCCATAAATGCTAAGCGCGTACACGTGTCGCTAATCTAACGGTCGAGGGTCACCTCAATCGGGGTGGCACCGGCATTCGCACGTGCACCGCATTAAATGCGGTGGGTGGATGTGACGCCGCATTGAATGCGGTGGTTGCTTGTCTCTGAAAGGAATCTCTACTGAGTGTTCTGTGGCCAAAGGCCTGGTCTGTGGTCGAAGGCTCTGTGTAGCCGAAGGCTACCCATGTGTCGAGGGCGCCTAGGAGCCGAAGGCTCCTATTTTCTGCCATTTTCTCCCAGTAGCCCTCGGCCATAGGGCTGAAGGCACCCAGGTGAGTATCGTGGGCCTCTTTATACTCGGGCCGCCATATTAGGGCTTTATGTGCACATTGGGCTTGATGAGCCTGTGCAGAAGAAGTAGGAATCTGTGGGTCGGGGGTCCCTGGGCCATATACTCCATCAAACCTGATTAGCCGAAAAACTGGGTCACCAAACGGGCTCTAAATCAAGTTGAAGCGTGAAAAATTTATATGCGGAAAAATAGATTGTCAACATGAGAATGATTTAAGTATGACTTAAAAATTGCCACTAACAATGACCTTCATTTTCCTTAAGGAAGGCTATAAGCTTTTTTTAATGTAAGAGAGGCTATAAGCTAAGACACGGTTGCAATAAAAGAAAAAAATGACATAATTATGATTTAACATTAATTTATGTTTAATTTTTCAATGTGACTAACTTTGGTTTAATCCATTTAATTTATTTTCCCCCTCTAATTCCTAATTTGTATCCAAATATTCTCCCCCACCAACCCCATGTCCCACTGCCACCTCTTATAACTACCACAGGCGAATTCCACTGGAAACTAACGCCATCGGCCGCCAGAAAAGACATGGGAGAAAGGTCATTGGAAAAAAATTACGACAATCACATAGACATGATATGCGGTGATAGTAACACGGTCAACGATGATACTGACACTAGCGGTTATAGATATTGACATAATTAATAGAAAAAATGTAAAACAAAATTAATAGGAAGTGCCACAATAAAATGGAAATGACATTCACGGTTTTTCAATTCTATAACTTGTTAGTCACATGTTTGCCCGTACATAAAAACATACACTTTCTTTTTGCAAGAAAAATGGATTGTTTATTAATAAAAGTTATTAAAATTACAGTCTAAACATAGCAGCTCATCAATTTGAGGAGGGGATTCCAGGTGGTGCAACCTCCACCATCTCTTCGGTATAACAATATTAAAGAAGAACACACACAATGAAATGCAAAAAACAAAAAAACAAAACTAGAATAGGGGAACTGAAGAAAAATGAAGGATTGATGATACGTATAAATAAGAAGTAAGCACGAAATATATTTTGCATCAACATAAATATACTAGAATGCAGTTACATTTCTCCGATTGGAACCGGATATGTTCAGAGGTACCTACACTAGACATGAATGCATTGGGGATGCTCCAATAGTTGCAACACTTTGAATTTTTAATCATGCATGCTTTCTCCCTCTATCTCTCTCTCCCCATACGAAAATCGCTCATACTCTCTTAATAGTCTACCATGCAGGTGCTTTGCAACACACATGAATTCATACACTCCGACCATGCACGTTTTGCATCTCTGGAAAACACCTCTAGCTTCTGAAAACATTCCTTAGTGTTCATACTATTGTTCTCGTTCGTTGGAACTATTCGGTTGAGTGCTCAACGAATAGCTCGTAGTCATCGTATCCTGGGAAACGGTCATTGCAACGCTCCTAGCACCCCGGGAGGCAACAAATACGTCTTAAGGAAATCATGTGTAGCACGAACTTAGGCCTTTTCTGCTTCATCTATTTTCTGTTTTCGTTTAGTCATTTTATTTAATTAATTTTCTATGTTTGTCGAAACACACCCAATGAACTTAAAACGTATTTCGTGATTGTTCTACTACGGTAAACAATTTTAATCTTGTAGTTTGTCACCTTGGTGAACGAACTTGTTTTTTGTGTTTTCGAAGAACGTAAGAAACGGAAAATGACTTCTTAAGAAAACGAAAATGTTGTTGGGCAGAATGTTTTGAACGATAATCACTCTGAAAGCGGAGCTCCGGTGAACAATAGTTCACAACGCGGAGTATCTGCTTTGGCCAACCAAAGTGCTATACCTATGGTGACCGTACCAAGCAACTCGGCGGAGAAACCCAAAAAATTTAATGGGTTAAACTTCAAGAGGTGGTAGCAGAAGATGCTATTTCATCTCACCACTCTCGGTCTTGCGAGGTTCTTGACCGAGGACGCTCCGGTTGTAACCGGGGGTGAGGTGGATGTGCAATCCTTCAACGCGGTTGAGCCGTTGAGGCGTGGAAGCATTTTGACTTCCT